CTCGAGCGAGTCAAGCATGGCATGCCCAGTCCCACCTGCCCTCCCACAACATAAGAAGCAAAGCTGGCACAATTCCGCGCCACGCATGATGCGGCCGAGGGACGGGAATGTTGCCGACGAATGGCCCGGTACACCGCAGGAAGCCAGAGGTGGCCGGAGGAAGCCCGACGGTCTGACAGGACACCCCAAAGCATTTTTGTGAAAAAGCATTGGGTTTTTGATGTTTTTATGTTGAAATGCTTGCAAACACACGGTGTTCGGTAGGATTCTGACATGAACGCGCGAGTGTGCTCTTTGTGGTATTTTTTGCACAGGATTCGCGGCCTGGGTGCATGACAGAGCATCGCGAGTGCACCGCGCGATGACGTGAAATCGCTGGATTAGACAGAACTCTTAAGATTCCTATGGTTTTCCTATGATTTCAGCAAGAGAGCCCGGGCGGGAAATTTGTACAATTTTTGTGAAAAAGCATTGGGTTTTTGATGTTTTTATGTTGAAATGCTTGCAAACACACGGTGTTCGGTAGGATTCTGACATGAACGCGCGCGTGTGCTCTTTGTGGTATTTTTTGCAATGGATTATCGCCGTGGACGACAGGACGTCCATGTCGAGAGGAAAAAATAAGAAAAATGTTGATTTTGTATTGTTTTTTACAGGTTAGGATGGGACCCCCCGGATGCGGCCCCTAATGGCCGGCCTGAGGGGGGAGTAGGAGTATTATTCTAATAAGGTATAAGGAGTAGGAGTAGGAGTAGGTGTAGGAGTAGGAGTCAAGCTAGCCAGCTCGAGCGAGTCAAGCATGGCATGCCCAGTCCACCCGCCCTCCCACAACATAAGAAGCAAAGCTGGCACAACTGGGGGCCGAAGTCACACCGGCCAGCCGGTTTGGTACAGCTGATGCGGCCGCGATGGCGGTTGCCGACGGGAACTGGCGAGCGCGTGTTGAATGCCGCGCACGCATTGCCAGACGAGTCGAGAATGGCCCGGTACACCGCAGGAAGCCAGAGGTGGCCGGAGGAAGCCCGACGGTCTGACAGGACACCCCAAAGCATTTTTGTGAAAAAGCATTGGGTTTTTGATGTTTTTATGTTGAAATGCTTGCAAACACACGGTGTTCGGTAGGATTCTGACATGAACGCGCGAGTGTGCTCTTTGTTGTATTTTTTGCACAAGATTCGCGGCCTGGGTGCATGACAGAGCATCGCGAGTGCACCGCGCGATGACGTGAAATCGCTGGATTTGACAGAATTCTTAAGATTCCTATGGTTTTCCTATGATTTCAGCAAGAGAGCCCGGGCGGGAAATTTGTACATTTTTTGTGAAAAAGCATTTGGTTTTTGATGTTTTTATGTTGAAATGCTTGCAAACACACGGTGTTCGGTAGGATTCTGACATGAACGCGCGCGTGTGCTCTTTGTGGTATTTTTGCAATGGATTATCGCCGTGGACGACAGGACGTCCATGTCGAAAGGAAAAATAAGAAACATGTTGATTTTGTATTGTTTTTTACAGGTTAGGATGGGACCACCCGGATGCGCCCGCTATCTGCCGGCCTGAGGGGGGAGTAGGAGTATATTCTAATAAGGAATAAGGATAGGAGTCAAGCTAGCCAGCTCGAGCGAGTCAAGCATGGCATGCCCAGTCCCACCCGCCCTCCCACAACATAGAAGCAAAGCTGGCACAACTGGGGGCCGAAGTCACACCGGCCAGCCGGTTTGGTACAGCTGATGCGGCCGCGATGGCGGTTGCCGACGGGAACTGGCGAGCGCGTGTTGAATGCCGCGCACGCATTGCCAGACGAGTCGAGAATGGCCCGGTACACCGCAGGAAGCCAGAGGTGGCCGGAGGAAGCCCGACGGTCTGACAGGACACCCCAAAGCATTTTTGTGAAAAAGCATTGGGTTTTTGATGTTTTTATGTTGAAATGCTTGCAAACACACGGTGTTCGGTAGGATTCTGACATGAACGCGCGAGTGTGCTCTTTGTGGTATTTTTTGCACAGGATTCGCGGCCTGGGTGCATGACAGAGCATCGCGAGTGCACCGCGCGATGACGTGAAATCGCTGGATTTGACCGAATTCTTAAGATTCCTATGGTTTTCCTATGATTTCAGCAAGAGAGCCCGGGCGGGAAATTTGTACAATTTTTGTGAAAAAGCATTGGGTTTTTGATGTTTTTATGTTGAAATGCTTGCAAACACACGGTGTTCGGTAGGATTCTGACATGAACGCGCGCGTGTGCTCTTTGTGGTATTTTTTGCAATGGATTATCGCCGTGGACGACAGGACGTCCATGTCGAGAGGAAAAAATAAGAAAAATGTTGATTTTGTATTGTTTTTTAAGGTTAGGATGGGACCACCCGGATGCGGCCGCTATCTGCCGGCCTGATGGGGGGAGTAGGAGTATATTCTAATAAGGAATAAGGATAGGAGTAGGAGGAGGAGGAGGAGGAGGAGGAGAGGAGGAGGTGAGGAGGAGGAGGAGGAGGAGGAGGAGGAGGAGGAGGAGGAGGAGGAGGAGGCGGAGTTGGAGGAGGGAGACAGGAGGCGGGACTGAGGAAGTGTGGAGAGGGGAGGCGAGATATACGCTGGCAAGTACCCCTCCGTAGCAGGGGTCTGCTGCGGTAGTTGGACACCACTGGTCCTCCTTCAGGTTCCCGCCCACGTCGAGCTGTTCAGCCTGCCCTGCCTTCGCCCCCTTCTCCTCCTCGCCGCCCGCGGCCATAGCGGACCCGGCGGCCCTGCGGGGGCCTCTCGCAGTCTGGCCGTCCTCCTCGGCAGCCCCAGCCCCAGGGCCGGCCTCCTGTGGAGGCCGGCTTGGAGAGCGTGGCTCGGGCAGAGGCGGGAGGCGCCACGGCGCTCGTGCCCTTCGCCCTTCGCCCCCTCCTGCTTCTGTGACGGTTCGCTTTTCCGCCACCAGGCACGTTCGCCATCCATTATTTTCAGGATGGAGTGTTAGTAGATCCGTTCGAATTCGACCCAAGTGACAGGCTTTATGAAGATGGCTCCTGCCTCAGGCCAAATGGTGGGCACGTTGCTAGAGCGGGTTGGGGGGTTGCGCACATTTTTGAGGCAGGAGGCCTGATCAGAGGCATCTATGGTGTTGTCCCTGCCATGCTTGGCCAGAGCTCGGCGATCGGTGAGCACATAGCTGTTATGCAAGCGTGTGCACACATAAAACAAGGTGCTGGAGCTATGAGGCCCAGAATGTGGATTTAAAGGCCCTTTTAAGGGCTCAGTTGTCTCCCGCCTTTGCCCTGGGGCCTAAAAGTGACCATGGGCATTTCTGGAGACAGGTTGCGCTCGATATTGACCAGACCTCTTGGGTGAGCTTCCACAAAGTGAAGGCCCACAGAGAGGAATCAACTGCGTCAGACGACGCGGATCTGCTGGACATCCGAGGCAACAAGGCCGCGGACTGGATGGCAGGCCAAGGCGCCCGAACTCACGAATTCGATCAGCCAGCAGTCGATAAGCTCACAAGTGCTGTCAGATTGTTTAGGGGAGTTTTTCTTGGGATGGGTAAAATCCTGTCCCTTTGGGCTCCCACGGCTGAACTTTTTGACATCAGCAAGGGATATGTGCGTGCGAGGGTTGGTAGGCTTCTGAGGAACCCGCATGTCCCTCGCTGGCATATCGATCACTACAGATGTGCGTGTTGTTTGAGGAAGATCTCTCCACTGACTAAGACCCCCTGTCGTGCCTTACCTCCGTCCCTGTTGAGTGTCCTGAGGGCTCCCGGCTCTAACGGCCATCGCCTGAACGTGTCGTGGGTTGTGGGTTCCGACGTGCCTGTTGTCTGGTGCATCACGTGTGGACACTATGGGACGACTAGGGCGCTCACTCAGGGGAAGAAGTGTATTGAGAACCTCGAATTCAAAGAAAGACAGCAGCTTATGAATGGTAAGCTGCCGTTCACTACATGTCTCTTGCACGGCACCCTCCCCATTAATGATAGTGCGTTGGGCAGGTGCAAGTATTTCGCGACTGGGGTGATCCCGCAGTCCCCTTGATCTGGGCTTGTGCCCGAGTGATGTGTTGTGATCTGTATGACTCATCTGAACTGGTCCCTATTGGTCCCTATCTAGGAGAAGGAGGAGGAGGAACTCCCCATTCTTCCTTCTCCCCCATCCTACCTATGGTAGTGGTGGTGGAAAACTGGCGCATCATTCTCTCCCGCCTCTTCCGCCGTCTCCCGCCGCCGGCTGTCCCCTAAGCTTCCCGAGTAGGGTCCGAGTAGAGGGGGTCGAAGGATTGCGCCGCATCGCCGATACGTCGCCGATGCTGCGCGATGCGGAGCACATCTTCTCCGCGCAGGCGTCGCCGATGCATCGCCCACGTCGCTGTTCCCGACGGCTGCCCGGCCGACACTGCTGGGAGATGACCGCGCACGCCGTCGCCCTGAGCAGTGTGGGGGTCCTGGGGTCCTGAGGCCTCCTGGAGCCTCCTGGGACTTTCTGGGGCGTCCTGTGGCCTCCTGGAGCTTCTTGCGGCTCCCCTGCGCATTCTGGGACTTCTGGGACTTCGTGCGGCCTCTGGGGCTTCCTTGGGCCTGCTGGGGCCCCTGTTCCTCCTCCCGTCCTCCTCCTCCTCCCTCCTCGTCTCGTCCTCTCCTCCGCTCCTTCGTCCCGTCCCATCCTCCTCCTCCTCCTCCTCGTCCTCACCTCCTCCTCTCCTCCCCTCCTCCGCCCTCCTCCTGCTCCCCCCCCCTCCTCCCTCCTCCTCATCTTCCTCCCCTCCGTCCTCCTCCCTCCCTCCTTCCTCCTCCTCCTCCTCCTCCCTCCTCCTTCCTCCTTCCTACCTCCTCCTCCTCCTCCTCTCCTCCTCCTCCCCCTCCTCCCTTCCCCCCCTTCCTCCTCCTCTCCTCCTTCCTCCCTCCTCCTCCTCCTCCTCCTCCTCCTCCTCCTCCTTCTCCTTTCCCCCCCCCTCCCCTCCTCCTCTCCTCCCTCCTCCTCTCCTCCTCCTCCTCCTCTCCTCCTCCCTCCTCTCCTGGCCCCTCAGGTGGTCGCCAACATCGAGCTCTTCAGCTCGCCCATCGTGGCGCCGGGCTCGGGAGCAGGCCCGCCCGCAGCAGGGCACGCCCAGGCCGCCGCGCGCGGGGTGCCTGCCCGACGCCCCGCTCGAGGGGGCCCTCTCCTGGGGGGGGCGCCTGCCCTCCTCCTCCTCCCCCTCCTTCCTCCTCCTCCCTCCTCCCTCCTCCTCCTTCCCTCCTCCTCCCTCCTCCCTCCTCCTCCTCCTCCCCTCCTCCTCCTCCCTCCTCCTCTTCCTCGTCCTCTCCTTCTCCTCTCCTCCTCCTCCTTCTCCTCCTCCCCTCCTCCTCTCCTCCTCCTCCTCCTCTCCTCCTCCACCTCCCCTCCTCCTCCTCCTCCTCCTCTCCTCCTCCTCCTCCCCTCCTCCCTCCTCCTCCTCCTTCCTCCTCCTCCTCCTCCTCCTCCTCCTCCTCCTCCTCCTCGGGGTTTGTCCCAGGGGCGAGGCCGACCGGGCAGTGCCGACGGCCGACGGGGGTCACCATCAGGTGGGGTCGCCACCTCCTCCCAGAATCGGCGGCGAGGGGGGGGGGGGAAACGAGAACGAGAAGGCCTTCCCAGAAGGCGGCGGGGCTTCTCAGAAGCCCTCGCGCCTCCTGAGAAGTTCTCTGCGTCTTCGGGGAAGGCTTAGAAAACTTCTCAGAAGGCTGGGGTCCTCCCAGCCTTCTGAGAAGGTCCGCCCCTTCTCACTTCCCCCCTGGGCTCGCCTCCGAGCGAGGGTCGCGGATCCAGGAGGCTCTGGCCGTCTTTGGAGCGCCCGAGGTGGCGACCCCCCCCCCCAGTGGTGACTCCCCCTGGCACTGCCCCTCTCCTGGGGGCGAGGCTGACTTTTTTGGGCGTGTCCTCGGCTGTGCGGCAGTTTCGCGTTCCGCGCCGACGCGGCGGCGACCCTGGCGCGGGGCGCTTCACGGCTGAGCTCCGCCACTGACCTGGAGTCGGCCGATGTCGAAGCCGCGATCGTTAACGGTCTCACGGCCCACGCGGCGTCAGAAACCAGCGCCGACGTCTTGGCGAAGTGAACACGCCGTAGTCGCCCGTACGTACTCCTTCCATCTCATCTCGTCCTTCTCGTCCTCGCTTCGTCGGTCGCGTCTACTGCCCCGACCCCGTCGGGCTGTGGAGGTGCATCCTATTGCGACAGTGTATGGACATGCTGTGCTGGGGACATCGGTACCCAACACTGGATTGGGGTGCTCTGTCGTAGGGGCGTATGGCTGCAGCCCCTCGGGGCTGACCGAAAGGTTCGAAATGGTTCCTCCTCCTCGTTGTTCTCGTCGTCGCTCTCCTCCTGAGAGACCTTGTCCCCGTATCCACGGGCGTTCCTCCCGCCGCTCTGCTCATCCTGGTCCATCCCACGTCTGAGTCGTCATCGTCGTCGTCGTCGTCCTCCTCCTCTTCCTCCTCTCTCCTCCTGTTTCCCATCCTTCTCCCTCCTCCTCCCGTCCTCCTCCTGTACATTATCCTCCTCATAATCCTCCTCCTCGTCCTCCTCCCTCTGGCCCTCCTCCTCCTCCTCCTCCTCCTCCTCCTCTCCAGGAGCAGGAGGAGGAGGATAATGATGATGATGCTGCTGCTGATGATGATGCTGATGATGATGAGGAGGAGGAGAAGGAAGGGAAGGAGGAGGATGAGGAGGAGGAGGAACAGTGTAAACCGAAGACTCATCAACGATGTTTGGAATCCACCCTCTCTCCAAGCTTCCTCTTCATAGGCCCCTACACGGGTTCATTTCCGTTTAGGGAATTGCCCTGAAGGGGGACAACCGCGTGAACATCCTGAATCGTGCCAACATATTATTATCAAGACTTGAACGCCACGGCTTACCTGATGGGTTCGTCTTGGCGATCTTGAATCGTACCAGAACGCCAGTCCTGGGACATCAGCACCGCGAATCAGCGAAGCGCCCTGACAACCTCGAGCCGTTCTAAAGCATCATTTCTGGCACGTTAACCATGCTAACCAGTGACACTCTTGCGATTTTTGACAGCGACTGTGCGCGGCGCGAAGGCGAGAGCCACATTTAGGAACCGAGCCGCCCTCAATCTGTGAAGCTCTTGCACATCTTGAAAGCGAATGTGCGCGGCGCTGAGGCGAGAGCCACATTTTGGAAAAGTCCAGTCCTCAATCCGCGAAGCTCTTGCGAATTTTTCAAAAGAATGTGCTCGGCGATGAAGCGAAATCCACATTTTCAAAACGACCCACCTTCAATCTGTGTGTGGGGCCAGGGCGAGAGCCACATTTTGGAAACCACCCGCCCTCAATCCGTGAAACTCTTGCAAATCTTGTAAGCGAATGTGCGCGGCGCTGAGGCGAGAGCCACATTTTGGAAAAGTCCCGCCCTCAATCCGCGAAGCTCTTGCGAATTTTTCAAACGAATGTGCGCGGCGCTGAAGCGAGATCCACATTTTGAAAACGACCCACCTTCAATCTGTGCGTGGGGCCAAGGCGAGAGCCACATTTTGGAAACCACCCGCCCTCAATCCGTGAAGCTCTTGCAAATTTCTGAAGCGAATATGCGCGGCGCTAAGACGAGAGCCACATTTTGAAAACGACTCACACTCTACCTGTTAAACTGTTGCCAACTTCGCAGCTTCAGGATCATCAGTGCTGAGGAAGTCTCAGGCGAAACGCCCGGCCAGCCCTTTCGACCTGCCTCGGGTTGCGACAGGGAGGAGTGATCTATAAGGAAATGATTGGAGGAGGAGGAGGTGGATAATTTTGATGATGATGATGATGATGATGATGATGATGATGATGATGATGATGATGATGATGATGATGATGATGATCATGATGATGAGGAGGAGGAGGAGGCGGAGGAGGAGGAGGCTGAGGAGGAGGAGGAGGAGGAGGAGGAGGAGGAGGAGGAGGAGCAGGAGGGGAAGGAGGAGGAGGTGGAGGAGGAGGACGAGGAGGAGGAGGAGGAGGAGGAGGAGGAGGAGGAGGAGGAGGCTGCTGAGGATGCTGATGATGCCGCCCTGTCCAGAGGGCCGCGCGACTCGGGCCTACGCTGAACCGAATTTTGAGCCGCACTCCGACGAGGCGACGAGAGGGGCACAGGGGAGACCCGCGCCCGAGAACCAAAACGGCCCAACGGCCCGAGGCGAACCAGCCGCGGCGGCAAGGGACGACGCCACGACCACGCCGAAGAACCGAGGCGATCCAGCAGAGGCGACGAGGACGGGCCACGCCCAACCCCGCGAGACCACGACGCAGCGAGTCCAGCGGTAGCGACGAAGCCGCGCCCGCGCGGCCGCCCCCAGGCGCCCGCGGCCATCTGCAGGGCCTCATCCTTCGGGTGCTCCTCCGCCCAGGCGTGCCCGAAGCGCTGTACGGCCTCATTGACCAGCCGCTCCGTGCGGATGCCATCCCCGAGGCCCTTCTTCTTATTCTTGTTCCTCCTTGCCCCTCTTGTTACTCTCTTGTTCGACCGGGCGTAGCGTAGCGTAGCCGGCAGTCTCGCTCCGTGTTTGCCGTCCGCTGCCTTCTCCGTTTTCTCTCCTTCCTCCTCTAGTACGTGCGCTCTTGGCGATGTCTCGTGTGACATTCCCGGATTGCCCGATTGTCTTCTGTCTCACGTTGTGGAGCCATTAGTGCACGGAGGTTTTGAGGTAGTATAACTTTGTTTGTTACCCTCGGAAGTTGTGAAACTCGCAATCGATGTGTCGGCGAAGTCGTCGAACTCCCGCTCGTCGCCCTTGCCGCCCACGCCACCGATCACGAGTTTGTCCTCCGAGCCGATGTTGCTTTCCGCGTCGACCATGTCCAGGCCCTAGAACGCACTCTCGTAAAACTTGCCACTTTCCTCGACATCATCGTGCAAGATGAGGTTCTCAGCGATGCTATCATTGCCGATGTTGAGCTCTGCCAGTACTTTTTTGGCATACTCCTCCTCGCAGAAGTCCAGCTGCTGCATCTTTGTCAGATTTGCGCCAGTATCCTCTCCGTCTGGTTCGTGCCCATCTCCATGTCCTTGTCCTCTTTGTCCTTGTCCTTGTTGCTCTCCTGTTTCTCCTCCTCCTCCTTCTGCATCTCCTCCCGCTCGCTCCGCTGGGAGATCTGGAAGCTCTGCTGGTAGATGGTCAACATGGGGCGCCACCGCGTTGCAGCCCTTGCACACCGAGCGGAACCCGAAGTTCCCGACCCAGCACGGCTTGTTGGTGCAACCCCACTTGGTGATGCCCTTCACCGTAGTGGCCATCCCGTCCAGCTTGGTGTTCGAGCCATGCGTCTTCAGGAGGCCCCCAGCTTTCGTCTTGGACTCCTTGTAATCCTTCAGGAAGCCCACGGGGAAGAGCGATTTAGTCCACTGCGATGCCTTCGTGTTCTTCCGCCTTGGTGGCGTAACTGGCCTGGGTGACTGCTGGATGCAATCCTCCTGCTTGTCCTCCAGGCCCTCTCCATGCTCATCTTGAAGCGCTGCATGTCCTCCCACTGGTGTCGTGCAGCTTCCCTCTTCACGTCGCTCACTATGTCCGTGCGGTGACCCTCGATCAGCATGCCGTGGAACCCCCAGTCCTCCCCTTCGTCAGCGGTATAGCCATCGATGAACACGCTGACGTTGTCCGCAGTGCTGTCGAAGCCGTGAGCGAAGTCCCGCACCTTCTCGCCCAGCTCCTTCTACAGGGGGTCGCCAGCTATGACGTGCTGGAGCTTCATGCTCAGCACGCCGCATGGCGCAGGGCAGCTGCGCAGCCCTAAATCGCGCTGCCCTTTAGACCCTGGGGGGGGGGGTCCCAGAGCCGCTAGGAGGAGGAGGAGGAGGAGGAGGAGGAGGAGGAGGAGGAGGAGGAGGAGGAGGAGGAGGAGGAGATGGAGGAGGAGGAGGAGGAGGAGGAGGAGGAGGAAGAGGAAATATGAGGAGGAGGCGGATGAGGAGGAGGAGGAGGAGGAGGAGAAGGAGGTGGAGGGGAGGGGTCAGGAGGGTATGGAGGAGGAGATGGAGGAGGATGAGGAGGAGGGGGAGGAGGAGGATGACGAGGAGGAAGAGGAGGGTGAGTAGGAAGACCAGTGTAAACCCAAGAGTCATCAGCGATGTTGGAATAAACCCTCCCTCGAAGCTCCCTCTTCATAACCTCCATACGACGGTTCGTTTCGAGCATGTCAAAACATTGTTCTCGGGATTCCAACGCCACGGATCAACCTGACTGTTGCGTCTTGACGATCCTGAATCGTGCTAGGACGCCGTTCCTGGGACTTCAACACAGCGAATCAACGAGATGGTTGCATCAGCATAATCCAGAATCCTTTCAAAACACCATTTCTGGTACGTTGATGATGGAAATCCGTAAAGAACGAATGTGCGCGGCGCTAAGGCGAGAGTTACATCTTGAAAAGGAGCAGCCCTCAATCCGTGAAGCTCTGGCAAATTTTTAAAACGAATGTTCGCCGCGCTGACGTGAGAGCCACATTGTGAAAACCACCCGCCCTCAATTCGTGAAACCCTTGCAAATTTTTGAAACGAATGTGCGCCGCGCTAAGGCGAGAGCCACATCTTGAAAACGACCCGCCCTCCATCTGTGAAGCTGTTGCCAATGTTTATTTAAGCTTCAGAGTCATATTTGGTGAGCCGGCCCGCCCTAAAAACTGGCCTCGGGGTGCGGCAGGGAGAAATTATTTGTAAGGAAATAGAATGGAGGAGGAGGAGGAGGAGGAGGAGGAGGAGGGGGAGGAGGGGGAGGAGGAGGAGGAGGATGAGCTGGAGGAGGATGAGGAGGGGGAGCAAGAGGACGAGGAGATCTGGGATGTAAGGGAGGAGGAGATGGAAGAGGTGGAGGAGGAGGAGGAAGAGGAGGATCAGGAGGAAGAGGAGTAGGAGTAGGAGGAGTAGTAGGAGCACAATGTTATTGCCAACAGTCAGTCGTAGCAGCACCAATGCTGATATCATGAAGGATCGTAGCAGTAATATCAAGAACATTAATATGAAGCAATAGGGGTAAACATTATGGACATGCGACGAAGAAGAAAAAAGAGGAGCGGAAGGCGGACCTTCTCCTCCTGCCCGCGGCTTCGCTGGTCGCCCCTCGCGGCCAGCCGCGATCCCAAGGTGCTCAAGATGCTGGTGCTCATCGCGGGCGGGTACCTTGGGTCCCTCGGCGCCGAGCCGCCGGGGACCGAGGAGGAGGAGGAGGAGGAGGAGGAGGAGGAGGAGGAGGAGGAGGAGGAAGGGGATGATGATGTTGATGATGATGATGCTGATGCTGCTTATGCTGATGATGATGATGGTGGTGATGATGATGACGATGATGAATATGATGATGATGATCATGATGATGAGGAGGAGGAGATGGAGGAGGGGGGGAGGAGGATGAGGATGAGGATGAGGATAATGATGATGACGACGACGTTGCTGATGATGACGATTCGGATTATGAAGATGATGATGATGATGATGATGATGATGATGATGATGATGATGATGGTGACGATAATGATGATGATGATGATCATGATCAGGATGCTACTTATGATGATGATAATGGTGATGATGATGATGATGGTGATGATGATGATGATGCTGATGATGATGATGATGATGACGTTGAGGATGGTGATGATGTGGATGATGCAGATGGCGATGATGATGATGATGATGCTGATGATGATGATGATGATGCTGATGATGATGATGATGATGATGATGATGATGATGATGATGATGCTGATGATGATGATGATGATGGCAATGCTGATTCTGAGGATGATGATGGAGGATGAGGTGGTCATGACAAGGAGGAGGAGGAGGAGGAGGAGGAGATGGAGGAGGGGGGGAGGATGGGTAAGATGAGAAAAATCATGATGATGGTGATGATGATGCTGATGATGATGACGATGCTGCTAATGATGATGCTGATGATCATGGCGATGCTGCTGCTGATGATGCTGATGATGATAATGATGATGAGGGTGCTGATGATGCTGAGGATGCTGATGATGATGTCGATGAGACGATGCTGATGATGCTGATGATGGTGATGTCGATGCTGTTGATTATTATGATGGTGTTGATGATGAGACGATGATGATGGTGATCATGCTGCTGCTGATGATGATGATGATGATGATATTGATGGTGATGATGCTGCTGCTGATGATGCGGATGATGATGATGATGATGATGATGATGATGATGATGATGATGATGATGATGATGTTGTTGTTGATGATGATATGACGATGGTGCTGATGCTGATGATGAGAGAGAGCGTGTTCTACCGCTGCTGGCGGAAAAACGGGGGGGCGTCACTGGGGGTTCCCAACCCGTCCCCCCCCTTCGAAAACCGGGGGGGGGTCACCACCCGTTCGAACCCCTCCCCCCCCCCAGTCCATCATAAAAGGGCGGGGGGGGGGTCACTACCGGTTCGAACCCCCCCCTCCCTCGAAAACCAGGGGGGGTCACTACCCGTTCCAACCCCCCCCCTCGCCGCCGGCAAACGATTCCCGCTCCTCGCTCGGGACAGTTGGACAATGGTGGTGATGCTCGGACAGTGGTGGGAACGATGGTGGTGGGGACAGTGGTGCGGGGACAGTGGGACAGTGGTGCGGGCGGACAGTGGTGGGGACGGTGGTGGTGGGGACACTGGTGAGGGGACAGCGGGACTGTGGTGGGGACAGTGGGACAGTGGTGGGGATGGTAGTGGTGGGGACAGTGGTGAAGGCGGTGGTGAGGACAGTGGTGGGACAGGAGTACAGTGGGGAAAGTGGTGGGGACAGTGGGGACAGTGGGACAGTGATGGGGACAGTGGGGATGGTGGGACAGCACAGTGGGACAGCGGCGGGGACAGTGGGACAGTGGTGGTGAGGACAGTCGGAACAGTGGGAACAGTGGTGGTGAGGACAATGGTGCTGGGGACAGCAGTGGGGGATGTGGTGCAGACGGTGGTAGGGACCCAGGAGTCGTTTGCTGGCGGTGAGCGTGGGGGGGGGGGGAGGGTTCGAACCGGTAGTGACCCCCCCGGTTTTCTGGTTTTCTGGAGGGGGGGGAGGGAGGGTGGTTCGAACCGGCAGTGACCCCCCCTGGTTTTCTGGAGGGGGGGGAGGGGTTCGAACAGGTAGTGACCCCCTTCTGGTTTTCGGGGGGGGGGGTTCGAACCGGTAGTGACCCCCCCCGTTTTCCGGAGGGGGGGTTCGATAGTGACCCCCCGGGTTTTCTGGAGGGGGGGGGGGGAGGGGTTCGAACCGGTAGTGACCCCCCCCGGTTTCGGAGAGGGGGGGGGGGGTTAGGGGAGGGGGGGTTTTGCCGGGGGGAAGGGGGGGGTAGGGGGGGTTCCACAGGGGGGGAGGGCTTTTCGGAGGGGGGGGGGAGACCCCCGGGTTCCGGAGGAAGAGGGGGGGGAATTTTCCACAGTAAAGCGGCGGTGAATCACGCTCTCTCGATGATGATGATGATGATGATGATGCTGACGATGATGCTGCTGCTGATGCTGCTGCTGCTGATGATGATGCTGATGCTGCTGCTGCTGATGATGATGCTGATGATGATGATGATGATGATGATGATGATGATGATGATGATGATGATTATGATGGTGATGGTGACGAGGACGCGGAGGGTGAGGAGGAGGAGGCGGAGGAGGAGGATGAGGAGGATGAGGAGGACGCAGCAGCAGCAGAAGCAGAAGGATAGGGAGGTGCAAGAGCAGGTGGAGGTTGAGGAGGAATCGATGGAAGAGTGGGAGGAAGAGGAGGATGATGATGAGGAGGAGGAGGAGTAGGAGGAAGAGGAGGAGGAAGAGGAGGAGGAAGATAGGGAGGAGGACGAGGAGGAGGAGGAGAAGGAGGCGGAGGAGGATGATGAGGAAGCTGCAGCAGCAGAAGCAGAAGGCGATGGAGGTGCTTGAGCAGGTGGAGGAGGAGGAGGAGGAGGAGAACGATATGCATGAGGAAGAGGAGGAGTAGGGGGATGAGACAGAGGAGGAGGACGATGAGGAGGAAGAGGAGGAGGATGAGGAGGATGAGGTGGATGAGGTGGATGAGGTGGATGAGGTGGATGATGATGATGATGATGATGATGATGATGATGGTGGTGATGTTGATGATGATGATGATGATGGTGATGATGATGCTGATGATGACGATGAGGAGGAGGAGGAGGAGGAGAACGAGGACGAAGAGTGGGAGATGGAGGAGAAGATGGATGAGGAGGATGAGGAGGAGGAGAAGGAGAAGGAGGATGAGGAAGCGGAGAAGGAGGGGGAGGAGGAGGAGGAAGAGGTGGAGGAGGCGGAGGAGGAGGAGGAGGAGGAGGAGGAGGAGGAGATGGGGCAGGAGGACAAGGTCACGTAAGACGATACAAACGGATGGTACTGAGGAGGAGCATGCGCAGCCTGCGGAGGATGAGGGTGGGGAGGAACAAAAGCAGCAGCAGCAAGAACAACAGCAACAGCAACAGCATGAGGATATGGGATTGCATGAGCAGGTGGAGGCGGATAATGAATCGATGGAGGAGGAAGAGGAGGATTAGGAGGAGGAGGAGGAGGTGGAGAAGGAGGAGGAGGAGGAGCAGGAGATGGATGAGGAAGAGGAAGAGGAAGAGGAAGAGGAAGAGGATGAGGATGATGCTGCTTATGATGATGATGCTGCTGATGATGATGCTTATGATGCTGATGCTGATGATGATGCTGATTCTGATGATGATGATGATGGTGATGATGATGAGGAAGAGGGGGAGGAAGAGAAGAAGGAGGAGGAGGAGGAATGATGACTAGAAGGAGGAGGATGAGGAGGATGAGGAGGCGGGGGAGGATGAGGAGGATGAGGAGGAGGATGAGGAGTCGTAAAGATCGGCGGCTGCGTTTTTTTTGGATGTTTGAATCGGGGAATGGGGGCGGTTATGCTGTTGATGACGACGATGCGGTTGCTGGTGTGGATGATGTTAACGATGCGGTGATGATGATACCGACGATGGTGATGCTGATGAGGATTTTGCTGCTGCTGAGGATGCTAATGATGATGATGATTTTGCTGCTGCTGCCGCTGCTGCTGCTGCTGATGATGTTGATGATGATGATGATGATGCGGCTGCTGATGTCGATGATGCTGATGACGATGCTGATGATGATGACGTCGATGCTGATGCTGCTGCTGATGATGATGATGATGATGAGGGTGATGAGTTTGCCGGCGGTGATGATTGCGGATGGTGATGATGACGACGATGCTGATGATTATGATGATGATGTTGATGATGATGCTGCTGCTGATGATGATGACGCTGGTGCCGATGCCGATGCGCCTGCTGCTGATGATGCTGCTGCCGATGGTGCTGATGCTGCTGATGATCATGCAATGGCTGATGATAACGCCGACGCTGATGATGCTGGTGATGATGGTGCTGATGGTAACACGACGCTGCTGCTGATGCTGATGTTGGCGATGATGATGCTGATGCTGGCGATGATGATGCTGATGCTGCTGAGGCTGATGATAGTGATGATGATGCGGATGATGCTGATTACCATGCTGTCACAATGCTGCTGCTGATGATCATGATGATGCTGGTGATGATTACGATGATGATGAGGATGATGATGACGATGCTGATTATGCTGATGATGCTGATGATGCTGTTGCTGCTGACGATGATGATGCTGCGTTTGCATATGATGATGCTGAGCTTGACGATGATGGTGCTGATGATGGTAATGATGATGCTGATGATGCTGCTGCTGCTGATGATGATGATGATGAGGATGGTGATGCTGCTGCCAATGATGGTGTTGATGGTGATGATGATGATGATGATGATGATGATGATGATGCCGCGGATGATGATGATGATGCTCATGTTGCTGCTCATGACGATGATATTGCTGCTGATGGTGAGGGCGTGGACGATGATGAAGCGGTGAAGGCCGAGTATGCGAATGAGGGGGGTCGAGGATCAGGATGAGGAGGAGGATGACGATGCTGATGCTGATGCTGTTGCTGCTGCTGCTGATGATGATGACGATGATGCTGTTGATTCTGTTGCTGCTGACGATGAAGATGCTGATGATGATGCTGATGCTGATGATGATGCTTATGCTGATGCTGATGAGGATGACGATGCTGATGATGCTACTGCTGATGATGATACGTATGCTGACGATGGAGCTAGTGATGATGACGATGATGATAATGCTGGTGATGATGATGCTGCGGCTGATGAAGCTGATGCTCATGATGATGATGTTCTCTCATGATGATGAGGATGGTGATGTTGCTGATGATGATGCTGATGTTGATGATGATGCTGTTGATGCGGATGCTGTTGGTACTGATGCTGATCATGCTGCTGATGTTGCTGGCGAGGATGATGCTGATGACGATGATGCTGATGCTGTTGCTGCTGATGATGCTGATGATGATCACGATGACGATGCTGATGCTGATGCTGACGCTGATGATACTGATGCTGGTACTGATGATGGGGAGGATGATGAGGATGCGGTGGATGAGAATGCGGATCAGGAGGATGCGGAGGACGAGGAGGAAGATGAGGAGGACGATGCGTCGGAGAAAGAGTAGGAGGGGTAGGAGGCGGAGGAGGAGTTGGAGGAGGAATATCGATCAGGCGATGCGGATGAGGATGAGGAGGATGAGTAGGATACAGATGAGGATGAGGAGGAAGAGGGGGGATGATGAGGAACCGAGTCGGAGGGGGATGAGGAGGAGGAGGAGGATGAAGAGGAATCCTGTAAGGATGTTGGGGATGCGGAGGAGGTGGGGGAGTAGGAGTGGTAGGAGGAGGCGGAGGAGGAGGACACGGAGGAGGAGGAGGAGAAGGAGGAAGATGAGGAGGGGGATGAGGACCGATCAGGAGGAGGATGAGGAGGATGAGGATGAGGCGGCGGCTGCGGAGGAGGAGGAGGCGGCGGAGGAGGATGATGATACGGAGGAGGATGAGGATAAGGAGCAGGAGGCGGCATATGCGGAGGAGGAGAAGGAGGAGGAGCAGAATGAGGAGGCGGAGGAGGAGGATGAGAAGGAGGATGCTGACATCGAGGCGGCTGATAAGGCGGAGGAGGAGGAAGACGACTCCGCCGAAGTAACTTAGTAATATTATTATTCGTACTAAGCGAAGGAGGATGAGGAGGAGGAGGAGGAGGGGGACGAGGAGGAGGAGGAGGAAGAGGATCGATCAGGAGGGTCGAACAGGAGGAGGATGATGGGGAGGAGGAGGAGGAGGAACAGGAGGAGGACGCGAAGTTGGAGGAGGAGGAGGAGGAGGGAGGAGGATGAGGAGGAGGAGGAGGAACATCGAGGAGGACGGGGGGCTGCGGCTGTTGGGTGGTTTCGAATCGAGGAGGAAGGGTGATTATGCGGATGATTCTAATAATGATGATGATACTACTGCTGATGATGATGTTGATTATGCTGATGATGACGATGCAGATGATGCTGATGATGCTGATGCTGATGGTGGCGATGATGATGATTCTGCGGACGGTGGAGCTAATGATGATGACGATGATAATGCTAACGCTGATACATTATGCTGATGCTGATGATGATGCTGACGCTGCTGATGATGATGATGCTGATGCTGACGCTGGTGATGCTGATACTGATGATGAGGATGACTATGATGATGATTATGCTGCTGATGATGCTGATGATGGTGCTGCTGATGATGATACTGATTTTCATGATGATGCTGGTGGTGATGATGATGATGATGATGACGATGATTCTGATGGTGATAATAATGAAGCTGGTGACGATGATGCTGCTGATGCTGATGATTATGCTGATGATGATGATGATGCTGGTGATGATGATGATGCTGGTGATGATGATGCTGATGCTGATGCTGATGCTGCTGCTGATGATGATGATGCTGTTGGTGATGCTGATGATGATGAAGATGAAGCTGGTTACGATGATGACGCTGCTGATGATGATGATGCTGATGCTGACGCTGGTGATGCTGATACTGATGATGAGGATGACTATGATGATGATTATGCTGCTGATGATGCTGATGATGGTGCTGCTGATGATGATACTGATTTTCATGATGATGCTGGTGGTGATGATGCTGATTATGCTGATGACGATCATGATGATGGTGATGCTGCTGCTGATGATGCTGCTGTTTCTGCTGATGATGATGATTATGATGATAATGATGATGATGATGATGATGATGATGATGATGATGATGATGATGATGATGATTATGATGGTGATGATGATGATGATGATGATGATGATGATGAGAGGAGGATGAGGATGAGGATGAGGATGATGATGAGGATGAGGATGAGGATGATGATGAGGATGAGGATGAGGATGAGGATGAGGATGATGATGATGATGATGATGATGATGATGATGATGATGATGATGATGATGATGATGCTGATGATGATGATGATGATGATGATGATGATGATGATGATGATGATGATGATGATGATGATGATGATGATGATGAGGAGGAGGAGGAGGAGGAGGAGGAGAGGACGATGGATTAACGAGCGAAGTTTCGGATAGGTTTTGGCGTTTTTGGACCTCTGCTCTGTGGAAGTCGTGGGGCCCCCAGAGGCCCAGATGTTATGAATCTCGGCCTATTGGGTCCTTTTCTTGTGCCCTGAGATCTTGAGGTAAATGATCTGGGATGAGAGCTGGTGCCTGGAAGAGATCGGGAGCTCCGTGGGCCATGTCACGACGGAATCCTGACGTCAGAGGGGGACGGGGAAGAGGGAGGGAGGCGCAGAAGAGGCGGCAGCAGCTTGCCCGCCTGGCCGCCCAGACCTTCTGCTTCTTTTCCTCGCCCCCCCCACCCTCTCGTCGTCTTTCGTCGCCTTTGTCGCCGTTTCATGTGTCACCGCCCCTCCCAGTGTAGCGTAAGAGCGGCGCTGCTGTCAAGGCTGGGCTTCTCCAGAAGATCTCAGGAGAGATGCCGTGGGGCTGCTGCAGGGCCCGGGAAGGGCATTCGGGCACGGGGTTGCGGGGTCGCGTGATTCCGGATTGGCCCTCGCGTGATTCCCGGTCTGTTTGGTGCGTCTCGCTAGCACCATGCTCAGCCGCAGTTCTCGGGGCTCAAGAGACGGGGGTCAATGCAAACGGGGGTCAGTCAGAGCGCCGGATCTTGTAGGATCTTGCAGGATCCTGCAGGGCCAGGGGTGCATTGACCTGGCTTTGGGTGCAGGACCCTGCAGGAACCTGCAGGATCTCGCAGGATCTTGCAGGATCTTGCAAGGCCTGACTGGCCCAGGTCTGGAGTGACCCGGGTCAGAAGATCCCCGCAGTTCGTGGTCACTGTGGGGAACGAGCGGGGAGAGCGGAGCGGGGCCCGGGAGGCGTTCGGGAGGACTTGGACAAGCGGCTGGCGGCTTGAGAAGCCTGACCTCACAGCAGCCGCCACGGATGGTGTACCACCTCTTAGAGTCCAAGGCCTCCACGTGATGCACGCCTCCGCCCTCCTCTCTTCCGCATGCTTGCACGGAGCTGCTGGGTCCATAGGCCTAGCGAGCACGACGGTGACTCGGGGGGAGGTGTCTATCAAAGGGGGGAGAGGGGCGATGCCGCCGTTTTAACGGCGATGCTACGACTTCTTGATCCCCGCCCCCCCTCCCCGCGGGGACCCCCGAGTTCAATGTTGAGCCAGCCGCGGCCGACGGTGGGAAAATCGGATCGCGCGGCGTCCCGCGCGAGCATTGAAAGTGAGAGGCGCGGGGAGGCGGACCGCGCCCGAGAGTTGCATATTGCTTCTCCAGGGCAGCGTAGGTGCTGGTGTGCCTGTACGATTTCCATCTCTTAGATCTGGGCCTTCCAAATGAGGGAAGGAGCTCGCCGCATCGCCAACGTCTCGGCGATACGGCTCGATGTGGAGGCAGAGTATCTCCGTGTCGACGTCGCCGATGCTTCGCCGACTTCGCCGATGCATCGCCAGTGCATCGGCGATGCATCGGCGATGCTGCGCGATCCTCCAGCCTCATCTACTTGGACCCCATCTGGGAATCGGCGGCGAGCCCGGAGGGGAGGGGGTGAGTGAGAAGGGCGGGCCTTCCCAGAAGGCTCGGACGTCCCCCAGCCCTCTGAGAAATGTTCCGAGCATTTTTTCGAAGGCGCAGAGACCTTCTCAGGAGAGCGAGACCTTCCGAGAAGTCCCGCCGCTTTCTCAGAAGGCCTTCTCCTTCTCGTCTCCCCCCCCTCGCTCGCCGCCGATTCAGAGAGGAGGTGGCGACCCCACCTGATGGTGGGGTCGTCACCTCCTCCTGGAATGGGGTTGTCCCGCGCCTGGCGCCACGATGGGCGAGCTGAAGAGCTCGATGTTGGCGACCACATGAGGGGCAAGGAGGAGGTGGTGGAGGAGCTGTAGGAGGAGTTGTAGGAGGAGGAGGAGGAGGAGGAGGAGGAGGAGGAGGAGGAGGAGGAGGAGGAGGAGGAGGAGGAGCAGGAGCAGGAGGAGGCGGAGGAGGAGGAGGCCCCAGCGAGCCCCAGCTCGCCGCCGGGGGAGGCCTCCCCTCGAGCCAGGCGCCACGGGCTTCCTGGCGGGGCGCTTCGAGGAGGCGTTCGGCGCCGGCGCCCGGTCCAGGACCGCAGCGTCAAGGGGGGGCGACGACGACGACGACGACGACGACGATGATGATGATGATGCTGATGATGATGATGATGATGATGATGATGATGATGATGATGATGATGATGATGGTGATGATGATGATGATGATGATGATGGTGATGGTGATGGTGATGGTGATGGTGATGATGATGATGATGGTGGTGGTGGTGGTGGTGGTGGTGTTGATGGTGATGATGATGATGATGATGACGATGCATTATCATCATCATTCTCATCATCGTCGTCATCGTCTTCGTCATACGCTACGCCGATTGGGGCTGTACAGCGTGTCGGAGCTGCTTGACACGTCGAGCGCGTTCGCCTGCACTCCGATGGAGTGGCTGGACCAGGCGGTGGAGGAGATGGCGGACCCTGTGGACCGGGAGCTGCTACGTGATCGCATCCATCATCACATTGGAGGTTGAGGCTCGTGGCGAGGTGTTGCATTTAGCCATCGGACGTGGAGGCCTCATGGGAACTTGGGAGGCGCCTAAGCAGTACGCGGTGGCGTTCACGTGGCCCATTCGCAGATGGCGGGCGGAGTGCGCGGCACAAGACACGCTACCAGATTTCAAGACGCCGATTCTCGAGCTGCCTGTCCCTTGTGCTGTGGTACAGTTCGCTGATGACTTGAAGAAGCGGCACGTGGTCTTGTCGGGCCTGACCTCGGATGCGTACGCCATCATTCGCGAGAGTCGGGAGATCCTGACCAGGGAGCTCAGCGCGGGAGGTTTCAAGCAGAACGTCAAGAAACGCGAGCTGGTCACGGAGCTGAGGCCCACCGAAAATATCAAGTTCAAGGCCTCACTTTCCAAAGGTGAGGGTCGCGTCTTGCCACACGCGCGCCATCTAGGGGGACGCTACATCTGGAACGACAACGCGAACGTGTAGAGAGGCTATTGCATCGACGCGCTGAAGAAGGGCTGGCTCGACATGTGTATATTCTTGTTTACGATGGCGCCTCGCAAGCTACGGCGACAACTATTACTGGGAAAGGTGGTGGGCGCTGCATTGTCTGGGATGTGCAGTTATGTGCTGTTTGAAGCGGAGCTACATCTGCAAGCGAGGCGCACGTGGAGGTCCTCGCGAACAAGGAGCTGATGCGAAGATGGTGCGTGGTGCCGAGCCGGGCGGCCTTGGCTATGCAAGGTGTCCGCTTGCTATAAGACATGGTGCAACATCTGCTCGCACATCAGCAGGTTATCGCTGCGCTGTGGGGCTGCGTGGCGGACGCGTCCTCTCCGATCGACGGGGGCGGGATGCTTCTTTGACGAGTTGGCCACCGTGGGACGCGCGTGGCAGGCGCTCGGTCTACACGACATTGTATCCGTGGCGCTGGTCAAGGTTGACGCGAAGCTGATCGAGGTATCCTTGATGATGGAAGAAGGGCTGTGGGAGCGTCTCCTGCTCAAGCCGAATGAGACCGAGGAGGCGCAGGGCGAGTACTCCTGCGAGTTGCTGGGCTCTGAGGGCCGCGTGTGCGGGTTGTGCTCTGGCTCGCCAAAGAAGCTGGTGACGCACATGACGAAAACCAGCGGCGGATCTCACGGTGTATTCTGTTCTGTTCGTTGTTGCGTGATTGATGATTCATGTTTGCACTGCGGGAACCTGGATGCCTCGCAGGATAGCGCAAAACAGCATGTGCAAGTGTCGTGGATTCTCGGTCGTTGCAGGCCCTCGGGGGGGCCGGCAGGCTTGGGAGTTGCTGGCGCCCCCGGATATCGTCTGTAAAGTATGTGGGCTCGAGTTCGATGCTCTGCCTGCTTATTACGCACGCGACAGGGAAACAACCGCATGCCCCGTCCCGCTCCGCGCAATGTGGAGCGCCATGCCCGCGACGCTGCAGGCCGCCAGCAAACCCGCTGGAGCGGCGGGGGTTGGCGAGGCAGAAGGAGCGCGCCGCGCCAAGCAGCCACGCACAGAAGGCAGCGGCAACGTGAGCAAGTCCGAGGAGCAGCTGAAGGGCATCGGCGACACATGGCTTCGTCTGTTCCTCCTGCTCTTGACTGAGCAGCTCCTGCAGTGCTCGCAGCACACGCGCGAGATCGGCAGCTGTCGATTCGACACTTTTCTTTGCCCGTCCGGCGCGAAGGAGCCGCTGAATATGTCGGAGCAGAGGCGCAAGTACTCGGAGGCGGTGAAGCGCGACGGCAGGGGCCGCGAGCACGGGGCGCCGTGCATCTGGGCGTTCACGGGGCTGGTCGAGGCGCTCAGGGAGAAGGGTCGCGTGGTGGCGGCTGTCAACGCGAAGAGCATCCAGGACATCTGGTGGTGGTTCGACGCTCACACGGTAGAGGAGAAGATGGAGGTCATCAGGATGTGCCGCCTAGACAAGACGTGCGACAAAGAGACGAAGCGGATCACCTTTGTCCTGCGCGACGAGAGGTGGAGGCAGGTGATCAGCAATTCATGCGTGCAGGTGGATATGGCTCGCAAGCAGGGGAAGGCTCCAGCGTCGTTCACGGAGAGGGAACTGCAGGACTATATGAGCCACCTGCTGCAGTAGCGGCAGGATCCTGTGTGCGAGCAGCTGCTGTGCCTGTCGGCATCCCCGCCGTTTTGCAGTGTTCCGCACGTGTACCCAACCCCTACTTCTCCTCCGCCTCCTCCTCCTCCTGTTCCTACCTCTTCTGGGGAGCTTCGCAGGTCTCCCGATCCCGTGGGAGCCCCTACTTTGCAGGACCTTGTTGTTTCGATGGGTATCGAGAGGGGCAGCTCCCGCTGGAACACTCTCACGGGTAGTGATAGGTTGCGCTCATTGGTGCAACGCGCAAAGCCATATAGTCGTATTTCCAGTCGGCCGTAACTCGCGGGTCGGTCGGCGGGGCCAGCCTGGGGCCATCCTCGGCCTGTGGAGCGGCCTCATCGCCCAGTCTTTTCGCTGGTTGCCTCGGTCTCGTCATCGCGCGCCGCCTCTCGAATTTTGAGTAATGCAGGAGGAAAGCTCGGTCGGGTCAGACCCCGATTTCCTTGCGTAAGTCGGAAGCATAAACAGCAGCTCGTCCACCCACACCAATTTTCAAAAAGGGGCCAACGGCGCTGGATGAAGACAATCGTCTTCGTCATCGTCATCGTCGTCCTCCTCCTCCTCATCATCATCATCGTCATCATCTCCGTCATCACCATGGGTTCGTCATCATCATCATCAGCATCCTCCTCATCATCATCATTATCATCATTATCACCATCGTTATCATTCTCATTACCGTCATCATCGTTATCGCCATCTTCATAGCCATCGTCATCACCATCATCGTCAGTATCATGTTTAGGCTGAGGGGGTGTGCGCACAATTCAACATACAAGGTACATGATTTTGCCCATCCGTCGATCGGTCACCAGGCTCCCTTGCTCCTGCGCGGGCAAGGTTTTTTCCATGCTTGCACATACACTGCGTTTGGGAGTTTAGTCCACTTCTCCTTGAAACCCGAGGCGCAGTGGACGCGGACAGAAATCTGGCCCCTGGCGGGGCCAGATGTTTATCCATAGCCACTGCGTCTCAGGCTTGCGGCCCCTCTTCGTTGTCCACTTCGATCCGATCGGTCCGCTTCGATATCGGGTGTGGTCACTCGGTCCGATTCGATTCCGACATTCCGGCGATCCGATGTGCGTCGATATTTGCATTGCCCTGTTGTCACCATGGCGCCACCAACCCGGCTCGATTTCGAATCCTTGTCGATGCAGCCCGAACCGACGAACGTTTCGAGTCGATCCGACTCCCCGCTTCGATGATGATTGATCTAGCCCCTTCCCCCGAACCCAAACCCTGTCCTCCTCGTCTCCCCTTAACTCGTCACGTGTCTCGAATTGCATGTATCCAGGTGGGCCAGGTTCTCAAGGCCACGGCCTCGCCCACCTGGTTAGAGCTGGGCCCGCACACTGTCCGCAACGGTGGTCGCATCGCATCGCATCGCATCGCACCAACCCACACGCGTGGCCGCTCGATTTTTTTCGGTACGTGGGTCCCGACAAGGTCCAGACCGCTTCCCCAGGGCCGGTTTTTCGTCCCGAGTCGTTTTTGACGACCCCTAGGCCCGGCGAAGGCCCCCAGAGGCCGAACCCTGCCCGATCCCGCCGCTCCAGTTTTTGTTGGAGCGTCGGATCTCTGGGAAGACGCCGTGGGCATGGACACGAAAGCTGGCGCCCGCGGCTCTGCATCGCTGCCTGCTTGCCGGCGGCGGCGAGAGGGGCCAGGCCCTGCTGCAGCAGGAGCCGGCCCTGGCCCGGGCCCGGGCCTCCTGGCCAGGGCCTCGCCGCTGCGGGCCGGCATTCCCCCGCGGCGGCAGGGCAGGCCCAGGGATCCGAGGCTTCAAAGATATAGGAGCGGCGGGATCTTGATAGTTTCGGCCTCTCGGGGGCTCCCGCCGGGCCTCGAACGAACGAACGAAAGAAGCCGCGCCCAGACGGCGCATTGGCAAGCTAAATAACAACACATGCGATCAGGAAAAAAAGCAGGGCAGGAGCGTGCACGCGCTCGGGCATCGCCGTGCCTCGGATTGCAATGCACAGGCATGCCGGTGCAGCGCGAGGGTGGACGGCAAAGCACCGGCCAGGGGGGGAGGGGAAAGGAGGGGGGGAGGGAGGAGAGAGGAGGGGGGGGCGAGGATTGGAAAAGCAGTGGCCAGAGTGCACAGTGCTGCGCCACGGCCGAATGCCACTCAGAAGCATTTTGTGCTATGGTCTGCGCCGGGCCTCGGGGCCCCGACAAAAACGACTCGGGACGAGAAGCCGCCCCTGGGGAAGTGGTCGGGGCCTCCGGGGCCCGCGCATCGAGAACACTGGAGCAGCCGGATGCCTGGGGGATGGAGTTCTGCGGCGGGCGGGGGGGCAGTGCGCCGGCCTGCCGGCGCCCCGCTTCCCTCCTCGCCTCCCTGCTCCTCCCTCGCCTCTCGCCCGCTGTTCCCTGCCCGCCGTGTCCCCCCCCCCATCTCTCCCCGCCTGCTTCGTCCCGCTGGCCTCGTCCCGCCAGCCGA